CACACACACACACACACACACACACACACACACACACACACACACACCCCTCTCCTGGGCCCCCCTGCCCAAATCCTCTGGTTGGTGGAGCTGGCAGCAGAGCCCTAATCTGGAGATCTGGAGGCCGGGGCTGAACCACTCCAGAGAGTCAAAACCACAACCAGGAAGCATTTGCACAGCACTCTCCTGTGCAAAACACAGAGCGGCACAGCGAGTTTTCAGTTTCAAACCTAATGCTCACTCCTCCAATGCAAACTGCCTCCTCACCTGCTTTTAAGGGTGTCCTTTCTACAGGGAACTTCCTTGAAAAATCACTCTCCTTCTAGTGGGTCTCCTTCTAGTATACCCCTCCCCATCTTTCCCTTTCACCTGGCAACAGAAGACATCTGTCCCCTTAGAGCACACTGGCATGACACGCAGCTCCTGGGGGAATTCTTCAAAGAAACAGAGTCTTGCTTGATCCCTGACCTACTCACACAAAGAGTCCACAGCAGGAAGGCCCAGTTCTCGGCCCAGTGAGTCCCAGCATTACCACCCACCAAGCACAGCTGCTCTGCTAATTTTAGAACTCTCTGAGAGCCACCTGACTTCAAGGCACTTGGGAGATACACATCACACCCTATCTCAGGAGTTGATCTGGGGTGCTGCCCACCCCTTGCTTTTCACACCCAAAACACTTTTGTGAGGTAGAAAAGTGACTTTTGGGGAGGCTACTCTGAATAAATGATAGAAAGCTAAAACAAGCCTCCATCAGCTAGCAAACTGCAAATTCTTTCCACCTAGTCGAACCCCCAGCATTAGACTGGTCTGTCCATCGGCCTGATCTCTGCCTGGACATCCAGGTCCCACCTCCCATTCCACATGTCCAAAGTGGAACTCACCAGTTTCCCCAGACCCTTTCTTCCTGTCTGCCTGTCTGAGGCATTTCCAGTTTCCCAAGTGAGGACTCTCAAGTCAACCCTGACTACCTCCGACCTCCTCTCCAGTCACTGAATCTTAAAGTTCAAACTATTTTATCTCCTGAACAGGTGTTCATAAGCTTCTCCTCTCCATCCCCACAACCTTTGCCCACCATCAGGTCTTCTTCAGCCCTCACCTGCTCACTGCAACAGTTGCCAGCCGGCTCCCTGCCTGCCTTTTCATACTCTAAGTCCAACTACCAAGACCATTTTTCTAAAACCACATCTATCTCTAGCTTAAAACCCTTCAAGATTTCCTGTCAGTTACTCCATGCTATCTGCACATTAAAATCACCTGGGCAGCTTTTTAAAAAATGTCAGTGCCCAGCTTCCATCCCACAGAGATTCTGATTTAACTGACAGGGTGGGAGGAGACATCCATATTTCTTTTTGAAATTCCCTAGGAAACTGATGTGCGCCAGGGGTGAGAACCACTGACTGCCAGGATCAGGTCCAAGCTCCTTCCCATGACACCCAAGACTTTTCTTCACTGGTCCCCTGCCCACCTCTCTAGCCAGCCTCACTCCTAGCCTCTCCATGCCTTTATGTTCCAGCAACACTGAACTGCTTACCGTTCCCACCATCATACCATTCCTCATGCTGTTCCCGAGGCCTGAAACACCCTCCCTACTGGTCCAACGTCATCTTCTATGGAAATCCATTCCTGACCCCTCACCTCAGCAACTTCCCCAGTGCTCCATAAAACCTTGGGTGTGTCTCTGTTACTGAACATCCACACTCTTTTATGATGATTTATGTATCCATCTTCCTTAAGCAAAAGGGAGAGGTTATTTACATAGGGTTACTTCAATCCATTTTTTAGACATATTTAAGATGTTTCTAGATTTTTTGATACTATATATTATAAATACACTGTTTATGTCCTTATACATTGCACACACATTTAATTGCATATGAGCAATAACTACCTAACAGTGGAATTACTGGGAAAAAGGACATGTGCATTTACAATTTTGATAGATATTGCCAAATACCCTCACCCTCACTTACTATGGGTTAAATTTTTTTTCAAGCTGTGCCAACTTGATATGTGTGGGTTTTTTTAAAAGGATTCTTTAACAAAATACTTGTAAAGAAAAAATATCCATCATTGCCCAATACAGAGTGTTGGGCACAGTCCAAATTTTTTTATTGGGCACAGTCCAAAATATATCAGGTCATCACACAATTCTTCTAACCAAGATTGTGTAACTCAGGGTTGTAATATTTCACCCCAGTATCCACTTACCAGAAACTACTATTTATTGCTAATTGTCAGTGTACATCTAGCAATAAAAGCCCAACCCTACTTATAGTAGGACATGAAAGTCATCTTATGACATAAAATTGCTGTGGTTCATAGTATGAGGCAGTAACTAAAATGTTTATCCCTGTGATTGAATGACCAGAAAGAATGCACCATGGTTGCAAAGCTCAGCTGAAGATTGTTAGAGAGGTACATCCTCAGGGCCAGGCAGAGGCCTCGCCACAGTCCACAGGACAAATAAATGCAGGAGTGGGCAGGAGGGGTCAAGAAATGGTCTGGGTATCAGTTGAGCACCTTTCAAAGGACCGCTAGTGGTGGACCTCCTGGGAATGAACACTCCCAAGTAAACTGTGCTTCTTTCATAAAGAAGCTCAGGCCTTTCTGAGCTACTGGGTTGATTTGTTTACTTGTTTGTTTGCTTCTTTGTTTTTTAAGCTTTGAGTTATGAGCCAAATCCAGATATGACTGCATTGCCCACATATCCATGGGATAGGTTATTTTGTTTTTTGGGTTTTTAAAAAAATTTTATTTTTGTAATTAATTTATTTTCTTATTATTAATTTATTTTTGGCTGCATTGAATCTTCGTTGTGCGTACGGGCTTTCTCTAGTTGTGGTGAGCGGGGCTACTCTTCATCGTGGTACGCGGGCTTCTCATTGCGGTGGCTTCTTTTGTTGCGGAGCACAGGCTCTACATGTGTGGGCTTCAGTAGTTGTGGCTCGCAGGTTCTAGAGTGCAGGCTCAGTAGTTGTGGCACACGGGCTTAGTTACTCTGCAGCATGTGAGATCTTCCTGGACCAGGGCTCAAACCCGTGTCCCCTGCATTGGCAGGCAGATTCTTAACCACTGCGCCACCAGGGAAGTCCCAAGGGATAGGTTTTAAATCATCATGCTGATAGGAAAAATTTGTAAAATGACTTCATCATCTCAATATGCCAACAGATAAATCAAATCAACATTTATTCCTTTTGAAAACTCTAAATATTTTAACAAAAAGCGTTTCTGTATTAAAGTTTGTTAAAAAAACCAAAACTATGAGCCAATGTTATATAAAATGGAGAATCCCTTCAAAGCAGAATCAGAGCCAGTATGCCCTCTGCCCCTCATTGCACTCAGCATGATATTGAAGGGCTGACAACAACGTTCTGAGAAGGGTAAGAGACAGAGGCATCTACACAGGAAAGGAATAATTAAAGTATCTTTGAGAGACGATATTATTACATACTTATAAAACCCAGGAGACAAGAGGTAACAAAGAGCTATGGTGTATAAGACAAATCCCCCAGATTCGGTGTTATTCTTTACGGTAGTGGTACACATAGAAAAAGAGATTCCATTCTATAAGAGTAACAAAAAACATAAATTCTTGATTGACTCAACTTGGAATAAAAAATATTTATCTAATTGAAAGAAATGTAAAACACCATAATAGGAAAAGTAAAGGGAGACCAAAAAATGGCAAAATTTCCTTGCTTCTGGTTAAGAAGAGAATACAGTAAAGATAATATATCTTAAATTAGTATGCAAATTTAGTGGAATTAAAGTTCCCTAAAGATAATTTATACAGCTTGACAAATAATGTGAGATTAGTCCAAAAGAAAGAGCAGTCAAGAATATAAAATTTTTTTAATTTATTGAAGTATCCTATTAGATTTTGAAACATATAACAACTAAATCTTTATGAAAATTGTATGGTATTGACATCAAAGCAATGAGAGGGGGGAAAAATCACTAATTGAATAAAATAGATATTCCAGAAACAAATTCAACAGCTTTAGGGACAAAATATACTGGGGGAGGGAAGGGAGTATAAGCAATATAACAATAGATAAAAGAAACATTATTTAAGCAAAACTGTAGGAAAAACAGGAGAATAATTATATATACATATATGTCATACTTTGAGTGAATTATTGAGAAAGTATCTGGTGTCTTGACTGTTTTGGGTGGTTTATGGTTTTGTGGAAGCTTTTTTTTTTTTTTTTTTGCTGCTGTGGACTCATCAGCAAAGAGCAAAGACTGAAGAGAATTTTCCCCTTACCCCTCTCAGAGAAGGCAGTCAGCCTTTGTGTTCCTGTGTTCCTGGCTCCCAAGGGACGCATTTTGTGTTTTAGGGTCAAGCTTTTGTTTGCGAGCCTGGTTCCCAGGCAGGAGGAGGCTGGGGTGGGGGAGATGGGGGGATGAGGTGTCTGGAGTTGGCGAGAGGCTTGATGCCAGGCTGAGAGTGGTTGGTTCTCTGGTTTGAGGTCACTAGGAGAGGGGGACACACAGTGCCCAGGGGGTGGCAGGGCCTTGAGTGGGGGATGGCTGCAGGGATATTATCAAGGCCAGTCACCAAGCCCCTCAGCTTGGGAGCAGCTGCCATGCTGTCTGGCCTGGTGAGGAGAGAGTACAGCTATAGGGCCTACCAGCTGTCGGGAGATCTATGCACACTGGGGCCAGGAGCATCTTCTCTGGTGACCAAATGGATTAATGACAGAGGCCTCTTTCCCAATCTTCCTAGACTGAGAGGGCCCTGAGGGCCTGGTACAACCTGGGGAGGCAGGGGGCGAGGACCCCCTTCCTAAATAATTACTACTGGGCTCAAAGAGTTAATCCTGGCCTACAAAGCAAAGTGATTTTTCTTGCACCTTAAGTGCAGTGGAACAATTCATACCTATTACATGCATCCTACATTTTGATAAACCCAGATGGTTCAAAGAATAAACAACAACCGCAAACTATTTTGAAAATTAGAAAACAAGCTCGTATATTTATTCCGGTGGTGGAGGACAGATACATTTCTGGGGTCAAAAAAATAAAAAACAGAAGATTAGACAAGAGGGATCATGGAAAAATATACAGCCTGACTGGTACTTAGAGAAATACAATCACATGGTATACCCCGATTGCCCCAAAATGGCCTGGATTTATTCTAACTCCGGATCAACTATAATTAATCCATAAGTGACTATTAACAAAATGTTTTAATTACAGCGATGTAAGCCCAGCAGCGTAATCTACATTTTTTACCAAATGTGATGTAAATATTCATGCAGACTCCAAGTTAACAAAGGAGTTATTCAGCTTGTGCAGTGTCTCACCAGAGGATGTTTTCTGAAGCAATGCTGAAAAAGGGTCTGGGCCTTCCGACTTTATGAACCAGCCACTTAATGCTCTCACACCGTAAGAAGGTTGCCAAGCCCGAGGCCATGAAGCAAAGCCGAACTAACCGCCCCAGAGGCCCAACACAAAACCTAGGTCTCCTTAGCATTATGTTAGAAATTCAGCGGCTGGCAAGGGGTCAAGGCTAAATGACCCCACAGTGTGGCCACCGAGACATCAAGGTGAAACAAAACCAACCCTTCCCTCTCTCTCTCTCTCTCTCTCTGTTGAGAGAGATTTTGAGATTATAAGATATTGGCTCATGCCATTATGGTGGCTGAGAAATCCCACAATCAGTCGTTTGCAAGTCAGGGACCCAGGAAAGCAGGTGTAGTTCCAATCCAGGCCTCAAGGCCTGAGGACCTGGGTGGGGGGCAATGGTGTAAGTTCCAATCTGAGCGCAGGAAAAGATCAAAGTCCCGATTTAGACAAGGTTAAGCAGAGAGCAGATGTGCTCTCCCTCCACCTTTTTGTTCTATTCAGGCCCTCAACAGAATGGATGATGCTCACATCCCATTCATCTCCCTGCTCATCCAGGGAGAGCAGTCCGCTTTACTCAGTCTACTAATTCAAATACTAATCACTTCCGGAAACACTGTCACAGACACACCCCAAATAATGTTTAACTAGATATCTGGGTACCCCGTGGTCCAGTCAAGTTGACACATAAAATTAACCATCACCCATGTACGTAGGGGTTCAGCAGGGCCTACCCATCTGCCTAACACGATGGTTGTGAAACTAGTCGCCCACGTGTGTCTCATTAGCAGGCTTGGCTTGGCTAAAAATTGTAATTGAACCAAACTTCATGATAGAGTTTTTTGAGTTCCTCAGATTTAATTCCACTAAAATTTCAGAATGAAACTGGGACATCGTGGATTGCTGACAAAAGGAAAAGAGGTGTGAATAATTCCCCGAATGTTCTTGACTCAGATTTGAGTCACATGGATTTTCATTCAATACCATTATCACTAAAAAACGAGCACTGGTGGTATAGTGGTGAGCATAGCTGCCTTCCAACACCATTATCACTAAAAATAAATGAATGTAACTTACTTGAATTTCTGATCACATGGTTCACTACTGTGAAAACGTGATTGTTCCTGCTCAAATTATAGAGTCAACCAGGCCAAATCTAAATATGTAATAAAAATAATTATTTCTTATACCTGTAGTTTGATTCCACATTATGATTAGACCACTAATGACCTTATGTATGCTGGCTGTTGATCTCTTCCAAGTTTTTATAATTTTATTTTCCCTTTCCATAAATGATGCTCCTTCCTGTGGCCGCTCAGACTATTTCCCTTTAGGCTGTGGCTAAAGATGAAATTCCACATTTAGTCAATTGGAATGTTGTTACCATCGGGGTAATGGCAGAAGCACTGAACTTGGTGCTTTAAGACCTGAATTACAGTCCAGGCTACCCCACTTATGAGCATGTGACCTCGTGCAAGTTATTTGACCACACAGAGCTGTGGGCTCTCCTTCATAAAATGGAAATGATAATACCAGCTCTGACATTCTTCCCTGAGGCTTGTGGTGAGGCTCAAATGAGATACTATACAAAAGTCTTTGTAAAGCGTAGCGTACCATCAACTGTAAGGTATCATGATGGGCATGCTCTAGGGATCAATGTGCTTAAACCTGGAGTGTATTAAAATCACATGACTCACTGGCTTAGAATGTTCATTTCTAGGCCCTGTTCCCAGAGTCTAGTTTAGTAGATTCTGGGTGGAGCTTGGAGATCGGCATTTTTATCCCTCAACCCCATCAACACCACCCTTCCCCTGTCATGTGATTTGTATATGAATGGTCTAGGGATGACACTTAGAGAAATACTAATGTAAGGGTAAAATAAAACACTTCAGAAGAACTTCAGGAATGGCCCTTCAGAAAAATAAGTTAGGTCCCGACAGTTTGGGATTAAATGTCACATATCTAATTACTGTAAGCGATAAGCTTAAATAAGTTAATGAACTGACGCCCTGTTGGAAGATGTTACTCAAATAAATTTACTACAGAAAAAAAGATATTTACTGTAGAATTGCTCTTACAGTTGGTTGAAAATAATAGAAAAGACTTGTTTTCCACTCTAACTTAGCTTCCTCTAATCCTATTTTGGGCCAGTATTTCTGGTTTCGCTCCTTCTCTGACACGATTTCCGTACTGAATGAATGTCCTCCTTTCCATCTGGGGGAGAATAATGGAGTCCTGTCATCTTAACAAGGTTGTGTGCTGAGCCATGTGGGCATGCCACAGGCCAGATAGCTGAGGGAGAAACAAAGCTTCAAAGATTCTGGCAACCAATGGTGCATCCAAGATGGGAAGTAATAGAGCTGTGGTCTCTCAACAGCCACAGGCTCAAATGATAGCTATTTTGTCATTCAGAATAGATTGCATGGGGCTAGCCCTGGGCTAAATTATTAAGTCATTGAAATTGACTTTGATGTTTTCCCACTATCTCCACTTCCTGATCACTCTTATTATCCCTGTCTCCTCTCCTGATCAGGGACTCGGGACCCTCATTTTGATATCCCACCGTGCCCCCTTTGATTAGCCAGAACTTGGAAACTTTTTCTTTTCTATGATGATACCCCAGCTGCCCACTTTGCTCAGTGTCCGTGGTGTAAGAGGAGGTAGTGGCGGTGCTGGGGGTTGAGGAATGGGACCTTATTCAGTCAGCATATCTGTGTTGCGGTTTAATGTGTCGCTCCCCCTAGGTTACTGAGGACTTTCTGGAAAGATATTTTCATCCCAAAGAATAGAAATTCCCGGAATTATAGGCACCTCAAGTAACCTTGGAGGAGGGGTTGGGGATAGAAGAGAAATTCACAGGTAGTAGCCCTCCCTGAGTCACACCACCCTGGGGTGTAGTACGGACAAGCCATGCACATTTCCAAGGGATTTATCTGGGGACTCCGTGGATCCTTTGTTTGGACTCACCAGTAAAATGACTCCCTCTCGCCCACCAGCCTCTTCCTATTTCCTGAAATAGGGGGGCTACACATTTCATTGATTCCTCTTAGCAGCCACACAAGGAAGGTGTTATGCTAACCCCCTTACACAGTGGACCATTGGATCCCTTCAAGGACAGTATAAACTGTGAAGGTTAAATTCATCAATGCCAAGAATGACTGTACTGACCCTAAATGAATATATTGTACCGAATTTAAAAGGAAAAAATACACTACCTCCAGCAGTGGACCCTGATCACTTCAAGTCAATTAGTATAAGCCCAGGTCCTTTGTCACAGTGATTGGTTTTATCAGAACTAAGCCAATCATTTCATGGCATTCCCCTGGCTGCATTTGACCTTATTAAGGGCAGTGAAAAGCAAAAGATGTCGGAGGGTTTCTGGGAAAGGAACTACATTGTTTTTATGGGAACACTTCTGGATGTCGCTCTTTCTCTCTCTCTCTCTCTGAAAATTGATAAGGAAGCACATATCGGTCTTTTTGTTAGCAGCCATCTTGCCTCAGCCATAGGATGAAATCGACACCAAAGGCAAAACAAAGACCTAGAACAAAACTGATTTGTTGATATTACCACGGAGCTGCCGAATCAAATTAACACTGAAGCCACCCTACCTCTAGACTTCGAGCGATGGGAATATATGAGTTAGGATTAGGTTCAGTTGCAAGTAACTGTAAACCCCAGGAAAAGTGGCTTAAATAAGCTAAAGGGTTATTTCTTTCTCAGGTTTAAAAAAAAATAGTCCAGGCAGATAGTCCAGGGATAGTATACTTTGCATCTGGTAGCTCTGCCATCTTAACACATAATGTCTTCCCCTGTAGTCCAAAATGGCTGCTCCAACTACTGCCATCACACCTGAGTCCAGTCAGCAAGAAAGAGTAAAGAGAAATTCACTTCCCAGGAGACACACGTAACACTGTTTACATGCCAGAACTTAGTTACATGGCTACACCTAGCTTCAGGTGTGGCTGAAAAATGCGTTTATTCTGGGATGTCATACGTCTGGCTAAAAATTGGGGGTTCTTCTGGTAGAAGGGGGAAATGAATCTTTGGGGATAACTAGCATTCTCAGCCACTGTGTGTCTTCCTTATTGTTTAAGGAAGTTTGAATTGGGTTTCCTGTTATTTACAGTCAAACACATCCTAACTGACACAACCCCATAAACCCGCCAATTACCTTCCGTCTCCAATCACATGCTGATGGATAAAAATAAGAAGCCCTTCACTGGGAGCATCTCAAGGTCTTTCCTTGTTTTTCTTCTCAGGCTTGGGACAGCACCTGGCACATAGAGGCACTCAATAAATATTTGCTGAATTGAACAAAATTAACTAAGAAGATTTAAACAGAGAGAGTTCAGTAGAATCTTGGCATAGTGACTGTCAGCTCTGGCCTTGGGCAAACCATAAAACCTTCTGAGCCTATAAATAAGAGAAGTAATACCTACCTTCAAACATTGTTATAAACATTAGTGACAATGTATGTAGAGTGCTTAGCACAATTCCTGGCACATACCTGCATAGTTGACACACGCACACCCCATGTATAGAAATTTTTTAAAAAATTATGATTACGTACATTATCCATTTTAAAGGAACCCTGAAGTTAAGAAAAGAGGGATTTTGGCAGTGTTTCAAACACCCACAAACTCTACTGGCTATTATTCATTCTTATTCTTAGGAAAATATTACTGCTGAGTTCAAAGGAAAGAATACTTTGATGAGATTTTTCATTAACACCCTGAAGCCTTCTTAGATATTGAATATTTAGTGAGTAAAGTGTGAATGAATCAGAACATATGTATTGAATTTATCTTGGAACCCTGTGTGTGTAAAACCTAATTACAAAACATGCTTTGCATTCTCTTGCTGTCCAAAGGCTGGGAAAACAGCATGACATTCTGCTGAACCTGAAATGACCTTGAACTCAGCAAATAGACCAAATTGATGGAAGAACCCCGGGTCATTTTTCAGGGTCTTTACCATATTAAGGGATATATAACCGCTGTGATTTGGGATCTTTTGTGTTTGTTTTCCTTGGTTTGACTCAGAAACTTGAGGGAGAAAACAGAATCATCCTCTTTGTCCTCCGTCAAGGTCTGAAAACAAAGATAGAAATGTTACCCCTGTGAAGAGGGCCTCTTATAAGCAACGGGGCCTCACAGATGTGGAAAGAATTGAGAGTTAGCTTTTAAGTCAAAGCACAGATAAAGCTTGTAGTAAGAGGAGCTGAAAGACAAGAGTGAAGGGGATTTTAGAATGTTAACGGGAATCAACTGGTTCTCCCCCGATTTTGGAGATGAGGAAGTTGCCTCTCAGAGAAATGACTGTTCTCAGCAGGGTGAGCAGTGAGCTAACAGAGTAGGGACTGCAAGGCAAGTTTCTCATTCCAAAGTCCTGTACACTCTGGCAAGAAAATGTTTAAAAAGACAAGAAAAGAATTTTTAATTTTACAAAGGCAGCATGTTGGTTTTAAAGGGTTGGTAGTGCTTTAGAGCATGCAAGGCACTTGGACACACACACTCTCATCTGACCTCACAGTGACACAGGACACCGCTAAGCCCACTCTGCCCGGTTTTGCAGAGGAGGGAACAGAGGTTAGGTTATTTTATAACTGTGCAACTCAGATTGGGACTTGAACACAGTCTTTTTTTTAAATATAAATTTATTTATTTTTGGCTGTGTTGGCTCTTCGTTGCTGTGCTTGGGCTTTCGCTAGTTGCTGCGAGTGGGGGCTACTCTTTGTTGTGGTGCGTGGGCTTCTCACTGTGGGTGGCTTGTTGCGGCTCACGGGCTTCACTAGTTGTGGCACACAGGCTCAGTAGTTGTGGCTTGCGGGCCCTAGAGCTCCGGCTCAGTAATTGTGGTGCACAGGCTTAGTTGCTCTGTGGCATGTGGGATCTTCACGGACCAGGGCTCGAACACGTGTCCCCTGTACTGGCAGGCGGATTCTTAACCACTGAACCACCAGAGAGGTTCCCCACCCCTGCAGTCTTTTAATTGAGATCACACACCTGGTCTCAGGACTTAATGAAACTCAGGTTCTTGATGTCTTATTGCAGAAAGAATTCAGTGAGAGACAAAGCAATAGGGAAGAAGTGGATTTATTTAGAGAGAAACACACTCCACAGATGGAGTGTGGGCCATCTCAGAAGGCGAGAGGCCCTGAAATATGGCTTGGTTAGTTTTTATGGGCTGGGAAATTTCATAGGCTAATGAGTGGGAGGATTATTCCAACTATTTCAGGGAAGGCGCAGGGATTTCCAGGAATTGGGCCACCACCCACTTTTTGACCTCTTATAGTCGGCCTCAGAACTGTCATGGCACTGGTGGGTGTGTCATTTAGCATGCTAATGTATTACAATGAGTGTATAAGGAGGCTCAAGGTCTACTGGAAGTCAGATCTTCTGCCATCTTGGACCTAGTTGGTTCTAACCAGTTTTTGTCACGTCCCATGGCTATGTCATTCTTTTAAAGGTTGTGCTCTGCCCCCTTCCAAGCTGCTTGGAGGGGTGCTGACTCCAAACACACCTCTCTTTCCACTCTGCACGTGTGTATGTCAGAGACAAAATAATCTTGTTTTCTTTTAAAAAGAAGGAAATGCTAGTTTCTTGTTCTGATATGATCATCTCCATTTGCTGACTATCTTTAAGGTTAAAAAGTCCCCTTTAAAATGAGATGAAAACATTTCCAGATTTTTCTTTGTGGGGAGATTACTGATGCTCTAACCTCTGGCCTGATGAACATAGGAGGGGGTCCGTTCTGACTCTGCCACAGCCTGTCCGCCCTGGTCTCCCTCTCACCTTCCTTGCTGGGCAGCCTAGTTGATCATCAGCCCCACCAGCCACAGCATCCCTGAAACACTGCAAACTGCTCAAGACTCAAACTGACGTCAAATGTCAAAACATTTGTTGTCACAACTGTCGAAGTTCTGACAGGTGGGCTCTAAGCCTTGTGGAATTGTTCCTCTCTCTAGATTGACTGAAAGTAGAAATTATCCCATTTTCTTCAAAGGGCAAATCCTCTCTATTCTCTCAAAACTGTAGGCCCGTTGAGGTTGCTGGACAGCCCATCGAAACATGAAGCTCTTTTCCCCAAAAAATGGCAGGGTTGGGGCTCTGTCCAACGTAGACTTTGCAGTATTGACCATTGATTGGTACTTTTTCCCCTCGTAGTGATGCTGATCTTTTTTTGGCTTTTAATTATGCTAATCAGAACCAGTGATGTGCTGGAGCTGGCGTGTACCAGCTTACAAGAAGTGATCCTTAAATTTCAGGAATTTTTTGAGCTAATTTGTTAAAAGCAACCATTATTACAAATTAAATTATATAAACTTACAATTAAATTATATGGAAAACAAATGTAATAAATGCTCATAATGTATCACTTCCTAATTATTTTACTGGCTTTAAAAAAACTAACATATAATATCTATTCTCTTGAGATTATTTGGGTCTATTATATCTGTTTGGTGGAAATACCATAAGATGGTGTGCCTCTTCCCAACTCTGTGTTTGGTGATGCCACATTGATATCTTGAAACCAACCATGGAGGGAGAATTTACCCCATAGAAATTGGAGAATACGACAGAAAACACTATAAATCAGAATTGCTTTATTTCAGGGAGTCTTTTTTTATGCCTTTACCAGCACTCCACTGAGCAGAACCATCTGCAGATCCCACAACATGAATATGTCAAGATCACTGTTCTTAGTGCTCTAGCAAAATCTTGTTTGAAATACCAGCCCCCAAATCAAGGAGTGAAAAGCATGACCTTGAAGGAACAAGTGAGTGTTAAGTGGTGTAAAACAAAGGTGCACTGGGACCCACCCGCTTCCTCTTTCTTTTAATATAGATCGTAATGGCTGAGACCACTTTCAGATAACATAGACACACCCTCTGCCAAAATTAACTGCAGGTATAGTCAAAAAGTAGAAAGAAAACAATGCTGGTAGCTACTTATTTTCAAAAAGAAAGGTTTAACTTCAGCCTCCGAAGATGCTGCACAAAGACTGCTGTCTTGAGAAGGCAGCCCCCAACATTTAAATAATATCAAACAAGTCCACCACATGCCTTCAAGCCCTTCCGTGGTACTTTTGTGTCTAATTTGTCCCCACAGACAAATAAATTGGGAATAAATTATTCTGGTAGCCCAGAGGAAGGGAGCAACTGGCTGGTGAGTTTGGAGGATGAATGGGAGGTGGTGGTGCCTAGCCCCTTCCTCTTTCTCCCTCCCCCCATTGGGAGCAAATTCCCATTAGGGACCAGATGTTCTCAGTTCCTCCTTGTCCCACTTCTTACAGAAGCCTGTGCTGGCCAGGTATTGCCTATGATGGGGTGTGAAAGGCTGCCTGATTCTGGGGTTCAGACCTGGAAAATTCACTTGCCCACAGACACCAGGCGCATTTCCCCAGAACAGATTACTTTAGCTCCCATTTGCTTGACCCCTTTGTCTTATTTCTCAGTTGATTCGAACCCAGTAGGAAAGAGGGTATTAACTTCAGGGCCTCTCTAACCCATCAACAGGCAAGTATGAGGTGGCTTAGAACTCAGTCTCCCAAGGACATTACAAAGAAATTTCTATGGCTGCAGTGAGAAGCTGTCGACACTTGCCCACAATATCTTTCAATTTCTAGTGTTTGAACGTTCTACTACGCAGACGTTTGGCATCTCATCGGAGCCATGGCTCATGTTGGCTCAGCTCCAAAACTTATTCCTTGAGAAAATCCTGGCTTTTTTTCAGACGTATCCCCCGCTCACAGCACAGCTCCAGGCAGGGATGGGGAGGCCTTTGATCAAAACAGGGATCCTGGCCAAGCCCTTTAAAGTTTTACAACTGGGCATTAACCCTCCTACCTGCCCACCTGGGTTTCAAAGCAAATGCTCTGCTCATGACAGCAAAGGATTCCTGAGTTCCAGATCTCACTAGAGAAGATAATTTTGAATTGTTTACTATCCCACTTTTCTGAAAAAACCCAGTGAGATCATCTTATTTAGGGCTAATATTTGCTATAGGAATGTTTACGGAAGATTATCTGGACGAAATAGACATGTGACTATCCCTACTGCATTTGCTATGAAACTCTCATTGAAGATGCCATTCAGAGTATGCTCCCAAAACTTCTATTTGGTAACCCAAGTGAAGAATATCTCGGATCCTTGTGCTAGGGAAAGTTCACCTCCCCTGAGATGAATGAAATGCTTCCTCCTCTCAGATGATAATTGAAGTACAACTTTTCCCTCCTTGTCTTGGCCTATAAGGAGGCTACAGCTAAGCCTCAGCCTTCAAGGTCACTCATAGATGCTCTACGACCCTTATAGTTGGGATATCTCCCTTGTGCCTGTTAATCTTGCTTTCTCCTCTTTATTCCTTCCCTTTTATTGATCTTGATATATTTATTCCCTTTTAAGGTCAGTTTCAAATTCTTTTGCAGGGACTTCCCTGGTGGTCCAGTGGTTAAGACTCTGCCCTCCCAATGTAGGGGGCCTGGGTTTGATCCGTGGTCAGGGGAGATCCCACAGGCTGCAACTAAGACCCAGTGCAGCCAAATAAATAAGTCAATAAATATTTTTTTAAAAAAGTATTTTGCAAAGAGGCGAGATGTAACTAAATACCATGAAAAGATTCAATGATTGCTTGAGGTTGGTAGGGTGGGGTGGGGTGTGTGGGAGGGGAGACAACTGCAAAAGGACATAAGGGAAATTTTTAGGGTAATGGAATTTCTATATCTTGACTGCAGTAGTGGTTACCTGCGTACATGCATTTATCAAAATCCATTGAACTGAACACTTAAAATGGTGCATTTTACTGTAAGTAAATTCAACCTCAATAGAGTTGATTTATTCATCCAACTAACATGTTTCTGTTATCTGCAGGCACTTTGCATGGTGCTAGGCAGAGAGAGTACACACAGTTGTGTAGGTTGTTCACTGAACAATGGTACCTGGTGAAGGGACTAGGAAGGGCTGAAATCCATCCCATGCCTGGCTCACCAAGCCAGGTGCCCAGCAAGGGGCTGGGGCTTCTCAGAGGAAGAGGCAGCCTCTTCTATTTTGGAAAAGGCGTTACATGTATATGGGTTCCTGGAAGCCTGGTTCTGAAGGCATATTGAAAAAGAATATAGACAGTTTCCTGCCCTTGTGGAGCTTGTAGTCTAGGGGGAGGGAGTTAAAACAAACAGTAAACATATAAGATAAAGATAAGTTGTAATAAGCACTGCATAGAAATAAATAGGATGATGTAATAGAGAGTGCCAGATATTCAAGTCGTCAGGAAAGACTTCTTAGAAGATGACATTTCAGCTGAGGCCCGAGTGCTGAGGAGCAACCAACCTTGCAGAGTGTGGGAGGAAAGCAACCCAGACAGAAGGAACAGCAAGAGCAATTTCTCAGGGGCAGGAGAACCTGGCCTATTCATGGATCAGAGAGAAGGCCACTGAGCATGTAATAAGCAAACTGGACAGGGGCACAGGGGTCAATAATGTAACTAACTCTCAAAAAGTTAGACAAAAGCCTTGAGAAATGGCTCAGAATACTAACTGCACTACAAAACATTTTATTTCTCATAGATTTTAGAGTTGCAAGAGACCTTACAGATAAGATAGTCCTTTAATCTTCCCCTATGACAAATGCAAAAAGCAAGGCCCAGCTCACCCTGATAACTGATAGCACAAATAGGATTAGAACTCAGGCTTGGCTTCAATTCAATTCAACTAACATTTACTGATTGCCCTCCATGTGTCAGGTGCTATTTTCTACCTGTCAGTCTAGAGCTTTCTGGGCTTGGAAGGGTTGAATAACAAGAATGACTGAATTGGTAAAATTCTGCTGCTGAAGACATGTTAACGTAAGAAACATCTTCCTTTAGACAGCTGTAGGGGTTTAATCAGATGAGTATTTCACACGACTTGATTTTTGCCTTGTTCTTAAAATTGTTTCCATTCCTGAAAGTGAGCTACATTTTTTGAAAGATGCATGTTTTAAAGCAACCGGTTCTGAAGCTAATCCTATGTTGACAGGTGTAGGAATGAGAGGACTCTTAAGGGAATGCTGGGTGGGAAGTAACAAGGGTAAGATCACGGGGGAAAAGCGTTGATGATCAATCGAGGGAATCCCAGCATTGTCTTTGAAATCCAAGAAAAGCAAGATTGGGATGGAAGCCTTGCAGGGAAGAACTCAGATCTCACAACCCAAGCCACGTCCCAGAACACCATGCCATGTACCACATTTCCTTCATCTGTCTATACTCACTGCCTGGAAATGGCAGGTGAAAATGACAACTGCCCCTCCCGAATCATACCTTTATCATTGTTAAATGGTTTGTAGGCTAGCAAACCCCAAAGTTCTTGGAATTATATTTTCCCTCTGTGATGTCTCTTTTCAAAAAGCTAAAGAAACTACAGCCAAGAAATGAAGCAGCGGCCCATAGAAATACACCATGAAACCACCACTTCCCCCTCTATCTCGTGGAGTTCTAATAGTAACAGAAATGAAACCTACCATCTTCAACACAAACTTGAGTATCCTACTTGAGTAGATAAAAAGCTAATTAAGAAACCAAGGCTAGCATTTTAAGAGATGTTTTCCCTTGAGTGTGAGGGATTTTGTTTTCCTTTTAAAGAAAGTGAATTTCCTGTTTTCAGCTGGGAGCTATTTTCCTAACTGACCCCTAATCCATAGATGTAACCTCCTGGCAGTCAGGTCTACATTAAACAGGCTCACCTAATCCAAACTCATGCCGGTCCTTTCCATGGAAGAGATTTAAGAAGTTCCAGTCTCAGTCTGGGCTGACCTCCTACTGGGGATGCTGTGAGCTCTTGTACAATTTGCTGTCCAGCACTTCCTCCTCTTCTGGAACTGCCCTGCCCTCTCCAGTCACAATGCAGTTTCTGGAGAGACCCATCTCCTAGCACCCGCCTCTCAGGCCACATTTGGTTGGTCCAGCAGTAGCTGACCAGGAACCTTAAGGCCTTCAGGCAGCATCCAGTGGTGCATGGATGCCTCCCTCTTGCCCCGGACACACTAGCTTTCTCCATTGCTCATCCAGGTGATGGCAGATGGCAGTTTCTCTGAAGTTAACACCCTTGTTTGCAAGCAACAGGGTGTCACAGAAACCAACAACAGGGTTATAGATGGGCCTGAAGTGTAAACAGAGCCAAGGGCTTGAAGCAGAGTGTCAGCAAGAGCCTCACTCTGTCACTTCTCCCCGTTTCTATCTACGTATCTGTGTCAGTCCCCTCTCACTGTAGATGAGCTCTCTCTACTGCCCAATCCACTATGTAAATCATGTCCACAGCCAACAGTTCTTGGGGTTACAACTCCTCAATTCAAGAGAGCAGTTATACTGAGGTGGAGTCTTAGTCTAATTCCAAATTCCTGGGAAAGCTCTTTGATTGTTTCCCCATGGATGTTATCGGTATTTTGGGCAGGGCAACTCATGCATATGGAACTGTCCCATGCATGGCGGGATGTTTATCATCTAGACACCTGCATGTTAAATGCCAGTAGCACCCCGACCTTACTGATTGTGACAACCAGAAAAACACATCCACCCTCCACCAAATGCCCCTTCATGGGGCAGTATCACCATAGTTTGAGAACCACTGCGTTAGACATTTCAACTCAACCTGGTTCAGTTTGAGTTCTTATTCCCAGAGCATTCTAATACTGGTTATAAGTGGCTAAATTCTGAGAGGAATTTCCCTTAGAATACATCTTAGAGAACAGAGGTATGTGTACCCCAAAATGAAAATTTTCATTTCTTTATGGTTCTGAGTCAGCTATATTTGTTTCTAAAAACAAAAAGCACTTAGGTTTTTTTAAAAAAGTCACATCTTGCTTCTGCTAAATAGCTGATTTATTTTTCTTGCACAATGACATGATGGTGAAATCAAGGATTTGGTAAAGTCTTGTTTTCGTTTTTTTTTAAATCATGTAGTTAGTAGTCAAAAATGGCAAATATTGACTTGTGAGTTGGCATTCTCCTTTAGACTTATACAACCAAGTACAAATGCAAGTCAAATGTCCCTCCTTCAGGTACCCCAGGGACAATGGAGTGGGAAGACCAGGAAAGAGAGAACTTGCCAACTAAAGCAGTTTTTTCCTTCTTAGAAACCTAGGTTTGGCCATGACCAGCTCTGCCTACCCTTCTCCCATTCTCTGAGTTCAAGGATGGGATCCTCCTTTAGCTCAAGGACCATAATATGAGCATGGTTAGACTCCTTACACACATGGCCTAAGACGAATTAAGGCGGGTGGGAAATGATGAAGGCATTGCTTTAAGGCAAAAAATTTAAATTGTTATTATGACCCTGGAAAATATGACCCAGAGCAACAGCGGTAGTACTCTTAAGACGGTTGATATTCCTAGGCTCTAGCTTGGAACCTGTACTGTCACGAAAGAGGAGACCTATCATAAAGTCTATGGTCTGAATAAAATTTCAATTCGGTTTTTGAACCAATGTGATAAACTAAGAAGTCATCTCTGAAATAATGCTATTATAAGCAGCTGGGCCCTAGAGTGGAAAGAGAGTGGACTTAGGTGTTAAGACATATGGATTCTAGAATAAAAAAGAATCCATGAGTGAGTCCATACTGATATGAATGAATGAATGAATGAATGAACGGGGGAGAAGGGGAAACTTTTCCTTACAGTAGGAATCCAACTAATACATGTAGGAGAAAGGATAGAATTAGAGTCACCACTTTGCAACCACCACATTAACAGTTGCTTCAGGTACAAATCATTCATGGATGATAAAATCAGCGGGTGAAGTATGATAAGAAATAAACCTACGTAGTCTCAGGGTTTCTCCTCACAAGATACTTATTCATTACAGAGGGATGAAATGATAACTTTATCATGGGAAAAACCAGCAGATTGCGTCTTAAACAAGGGATCAAGGTTCCTATCATTAGAAATGGAAAAATGGACCTCATGTGCCTCCTGACATGATACTCTGAGAAGGTGTGCTATTTGTGCTGAAACAGCAGAACTTGAATTTAGTTATGAAAAACCATCAGACAGCCCGAATCTAGGGACATTCTTCAAAATAACTGGCCTGTACTCTTCGAAAGTATCAAGGTCCTAAAAACAAAGATAGACTGAGGAATTTTTCCTGATTAAAGCAAACTGCAGAGACATCACAACTAAATTTGTGTGACTCTGGATTGGATCCTGGTCCAATAAAGGACACTAGTGGGACAATTGACAAAATTTGAATAAGGTCTGTAGATTGTTTATATTGTTTTAATGTTGATTTCCTGATATTGTAATTGTACTCTGGTTACGAAAGAGTGTTTTTACTTTTAGGAAATACATGCTGAAAATTTAGAGATGAGGGAAAGAGAAAGAGAGATTAAGATTCTAATCCTAGCTCTGCCATTAACTAGAGGACCTAGGACAAGTTACTTATACACTCTGGGCTTTGGTTTTCTGTTTGTAAGATGAAGAGATTATACTAGTTCGGTGGGCCTCAAGGTGTGATGAAATAAAACATCATCTGGAAGTCACTGGAAATGCTGATTCTCAGGTCCTATCCCAGACATGAATCAGAAACTCTGGGGATGGAGCCTGTGTATTAACAAGTCCTCCGTGAAATCCTGATGCTTGGTCAGGTGTGAGAACCACTGCCCTAGTCATCTCCAAGGTCCCTATTAGCCTAATGTTAGCTGATGTTCTGTGGTTCTCATTTGTCTCTCCTACAGAGGACAACCCTTTCTCAGAAAAGGCATCTCCCCTCTCCCAGTTCGTTCATCATTGATTTGGTGCTGACAAAGGGCTGGCCAGGAAGCTGGAAGTGCTGGAACTTTGGAGAAATAGTTTTCCTGGGCATTTAGACCCAACCTCTGCTTGCAATAGGTACAGATTAAACATAAAACATTTAATAATCCTACTTAGTTCAGGAAACATCAAAGAAAGCAAGTGATGCATAATTAAGTTCCACGCAGTGGCTTATCTTTCTTGGCCTCTTACTAAAATGCTTGAACCAGTTACTTCTAGGAAGAATGGGGCTGTGAGTCACTCCGGAGAGTTTCTATTAGTACCTTTAGAAAAGTTTGCCTCAGCCTTCTCTTCAGGATAAATGTTTCCTGGATTACTCAGGCGGTAAGAATCTCTCTTAATGCCTTCTAAATACTTCTACAAACCCAGAGTTAACTCTTGTCTGTTAAGAGTCCTTAAGCTGTGACCTAAGAGTGTTAAGTTTGCTTCTGATTGGCTGATTAAAAACAACAAACAGAGAAAAATCTCTCCCATTCTTGGTTTACCAGTTACTACTGGGTTCCTATCACTGAAGGTTTTCCACTCACAGCCACACCCTTGTCTTCAACACCACCTGACTCTCGAAGCTACTTTTTCAGTCCTGACCTTTCCTAATATCAATTTCTGATTTTTTGTTGTTTTTACATTTTTATTTATTTATTAAACAGATAGCATGCATATTCATTTGCTTCAAAACTCAAAATATTAAAAAAGGTATACAGTGGAGATCTACATGACCTTCTCCCCCCTGCCTGCCCTGCCTCCACCCTCCAGGTTCAATTTCTCATTTTTGACAGTCTTTAGAACTGATTCACTCTATCCAAAATGAATCCATCATCTTCTCTACCATCCTGGACCGAACCCCTTTAAGCCTCTTTGTCTTCAGCTGTAAAATGGGATAATATCACTTTCCTCATAGGGTGTGTATATCCCTTATAGAACCAACACTTATAAACTTTACCACTGCCAAGCCCATAGTAAGCACTCAGTAAAAATTCACTATTGATAACATAGTTATAATAATAATAAACTCTCCCTAAATTGAATATTGATGTAGGGGTGTGCCTTTTCTCCCAGTCTTCCAAATTGGCAACTTTGGAGTTCACCTCCCTCCCCCCACCCCCGGCCCCTTCTCCTCCATTGCAGATATTTTGGCCTCATCTACCTTTATATTATTCCTTTCTTGTTGGGATTTGCATGGGGCAGGAAGAATTAGGAACAAATTCCCTAAGAGGCTGCCCTGTTCTTGCAAAGACTCTTGGACGAGGCTGCTGAGGAGACACCACCCATGGGTCACACGCCTTTGCCCCCAAGCCCCTTTCACCACCAACTCTCCTCGCCTCCCTTCTGGGATGTTGCTGGTAATTAGTAGCTCATTCCTGACATTGCTATTTCCCCTTGGGCCAAATGACCGAGCTTGCTATATTTAAAAATGTAAGGTTTCCTGGCTCTCTTTAGTGCATTTAATCCTCCCCACCCTTGGACTTCCACAAACAAAGGCACAATTCTCATTTTCACAGTAAAATAGGCAAATAAATAAATATTAGAACTGATCCTTCCATCTATCAGAATTCTAGTGCTTAAATCTCAAGGACAGCTAATTTGGGGATGAGGGGGCGTGGGTGAACGATTGCCCTAGGTCAGCATTTCGTTGGAAGGGAAAGGATATGTCAGGGCTCACATTTCTGCATTCCAATCTGTGTTCACCCAATTATATTTTCCCCCTTTCCACTCTTAGCAAATGGGTATTTCACACTAAGGGCTGCATTTAAATCTCATTGTATGAGTCACTAAAAAAGTTTTCATAGTTAAGCCCTTAAATTAAAAAATCTCTCTTATCCGCATGATAACAACTTAGAAATGAGCAGACAGACCCCTCTGCTCTTCCCTAAGCCATATTTGAGCCTAGTAGAGTAAGACTTCACTGAAATTGCAATTGATCAGAATACTTGCAATCTTGCCAAATAAAAGAGTTAAAAGAGAAATGCCTTAACCAAAGCTAAAACATCTGCCACCTGATTGTAACATTTCATATTTGATTTCAAGGAACATTAGATTTATTATGTCATGTACTTCAATTTTGAAGCAGATGCTTCCTCTGCTGGAAGATATTGGGCTTGGGCATTTCCTCCACCAGGAAGCCTTCCCCTCCCGTGGCCTCACTTATTTTCCCTAGGTCCCATTAACCAGTATTATTGTGGGTGTGAGGGGCCCGAGCCTGGGCCTGTGTTTTAGGGGTTCCCCTCTGACCCTCCTTTTGACTGGCCCCTCCTTACAGGACAAACAACCCATGGACCAAAGGGATGTGTCCATTCAGAGACTGGACCTTCCCTCCTGGACCATATTCTGGGTACTCAAGATTCCAGAATGTTCCTTGAATGATCC